TCTGAAAGTAGTTACCTAATTTAAATTCTGAATTATTGCCATGTTTTTAAAGGGTGTGGTGTTTTAAATTCCCCTTGTGAAGCTTGCTGACGTTGGAATAGTTTTTGAACAGTTCAATAGATGTCACAACATTATCCAGCAAAAGTTTGCATTGTTCAAATATGGTCTACAACTAACAATAACATGTAACTAACTATTTCTTACGCCTCCTAGCGACAGATAACAGGGTGTGCAGGAGTCTTTGTCAGTTGGTTTATACCTCCCTCCCGTTCAAAAAATCAATATCGCTAAACGTGTGACTTGTATACAGAACTGTGCCAGTGAACTTTTATCTGAAAATTAATGGTAAGATAGTGCGGAGCTATTTCAAATCCGCAACCGTTTTGTATGAAAAACAACAACTTAACCCAACCTTAGCCTGGGTTCCATCCTGGTTAGTTTGTGGGAGCGGACGTAAACTAACCAGGATGGAACCCAGGCTATTAGTTACTAGTAGTTTTGTAAGATAATGATACATACAATGACATTTTAATAACGTAATAACGTTAGTGTTATTCGTTTATGTTTGGATCCGGGTAACGTTAACTATCTTTGTTACAGTAACTGTAACTTTATTCACTTCCCTATGACGGAAAAATGAAGTAATTTTTTCCCTAGGCATTGTCGTCATCGTTCCGCTACACAGGCTGTGTCACAGCAAATTATAACCATAACCGTGATAACGTGGTGTAACATACAACAGGCCGAAAACAACAAAAGGAAACGTGGGCGAATTTTTTTACGTCAGTTAAATTCCTGACAAGGGTTGGAAAGAACCCCTGTTGCTAGAAACGTGGTTCAAATGGATCAATTCAAGGCCAAGTTGATGGCCAAACTGGTGGCGTTATCAGTGACAAATGCTTCTCGGGGTTTCTGATGAGGGACCGCCAAGAGAAATACATACGGTGACGCGACCTGTTTGTCATAGTTGAAGGTCACGGAGGTGATTCACATGATAGCGCTCCACCTGGCTGATTGTTGTTCTGAGACCTTTGGTAGACAGATAATTGGGATTTCCTGTCAAAACTCAGTTGTTGTCGTCAACTGGTAACAAAAATGTCAATATCCTGCGTATCCTCAACGTCAATGCAGGGGCGGTCGCACATCCCTTCCAACTTCTTCCCTTCAAGATTCGGTTCAGCTGTCAATCTTAATTAAGCCACGGACCAATCAGCGCGCTGACCGGGGTTTATCAAACCACGCGTTCTTTGCCACATCCGTTCAAGTTGCCACACAGTTGAGTTGCGGGAGAGCTCCGGTACAGACCTTCTACTACAGACCCTGGGAGCTCAGCAACAATGTCTCCGCTCGTTATCAGGTCCTTTTTGCTAGGACTTTTGCTTCCCGTGATTTTAGGACTGACTAGAACTGATTTTTACCCGTATGGCGTGGAGTATGGAGACACGGAGCTGCGCAAGGGCGACGAAGTGAGCAGCCACCCCATCCCTCTCTTCTCCTCCGTCTACTTCTACGGAACACGTTACCAGTCTCTTTTTGTGAGTATCTATAAAATCTTCTACTTAGCTGCAAACTTATCTCTGATAAGTCTTATCGCGAGTCCTTTCAATGACTTATGTCTCTCATGAACTGAGTTTCAATGTGTTTTTCAAGATCTTGCCGGGGCGCTTGTATCAGACTTCCTGGCCTTGTAGCACTGCGAGGTTTCCTCCACGCCAGGGCTTTTCCGGGCAGAGTCGTTTGTTTGTCTAGGCCGCAGAAGCCGGGCAAGTTTCTGTGGGCTGACCCTGTGCCTTGTGTAAATAGTTTGTCTCGATTGCTATCAACATGTTAGGAGCCCTGTCCTGATCCCAGCCAGCTGCTGGACCACAGAAGACCAACATTTCCGAAAAAAAGAAAGAGTTTTACCCAGTAAACTGCGGCATATTTGATCTCAATTTTTGAGGTCGAATGATTTGCATCTCAGTTCCACAGCTTGTTTTCTCCCCGTTCTGCTTCACAGCTATGTGTGAATCAATCTGTCTTCCATTTTACGTATTTGCGCCTTCGCTCCTCGAGTTCTCGTTTCACTGCCAGACGTCCGAAAAGTGGCACAGAGAAAATTCCCTCCAAGAAAAAGTCCTTCTGCCTGGCGACTCCTCAGAAGTTTGCCTAAGTATTTTTGACGTCATTGTTTTATTCTCAGATTTAGATACTGCTTTTTGTTTGCACGAAGGAGGTTTTAATAAAACTTACTTGTTTTGCACCTTTGTTTTTTGCTTCATCCTTTCCACAAACTCCATCATGTTGGAACCAACACAATGGAACCAGATGCCAGTACATATGTATGCCAGCATGTAGCTTATTTAAAGGCGATAAACCTTTGGCGCTTCAAAGTATACACAAAAGTCCAGCCAGGGTCAGACCATTGGGTTTCTCTGGCCCACGGGTAAAATTTATGCACATAGCCTACACAAACTTACACAAAGGGGCAGTTTCATACAGGACCAAGGGGAAGAGAGTTGAGGTTACCTGTAAAACACATTAGGCCTTAGAAACTTATCTTATGGCTAGCATCATCAGAAGACATTCTAGAATGAAAGCATGCAGAAAAATCACTTATTTTGTGATGAAGTTGCTTGTGATGAGCAGTGCTGTAAGTGTAACTGGAAATACAAAGCTGTGTATGATATTGATAATCGTCATCCCACCTTCCCCTGGTCATTTCTGGAACATCCCTCTTGTCCTGTGGAAATGGCTGTGGTTCCCGCTTAGACATCAGGGGATGTGGTTAGGCCCTGCTGCTTATCAAACAGGACTTCCCTTTCCGTAGCTAATTCCTCCTCCAGTTCTTGATACTGCCTAACTTCCAGAGCAAGTTCTTGGTAAGATTTGTACCTTCCAGAGCAGTTTCTGTGGTTCTGATATTGATATTGTTGATTTTTGACTGATGTCAACAAATTTCTGATTGCTACTGTGTCTGTTTTATACAACATGGCAATCAGAAAATGTGAGCAATTGGAACACTTAATTAATCATAAAACATTATGCAATTGACCAGAATTCAGTTGCAAATATATCAAAGGGAGCCCCTTGGCCCTGGAGCCTGGGTGCTAGATACTGCACAGATCTGTGACTCTGACCTTCCTGGAAATTGATGTTCTCAGACTCTGCTTTTGACATACCTTGCATTAGGGTCCAGGCTGATGCCTGTATCAGATTTGTGTTCAGTCACCCTTTTCCATAGTGGAAGATGTGTTCGCTGGTTCCCTTAGAATTTTAGTTTTTAATTTAAAAAAAAGTACTGTGCTGTGGTTCTGCCTCTCCCAAATATCCCCAAGTGGGTTGGGGTACTTCCAGGGTTGTTGCAAATGAGCTACAGGTCCTCTCCACTTTGTGTTTCCCTCTTCCCTCAGGTTGGTTTTGCCATCTGGAAACTGCCAAATTAGTGAAGACTTCTGTTGCCTTAGCAGAGTCTGTGACAGCTCTTGAATTTGATGTCAACATTTTTTGCTGAGCTTTGTTGTTTTCTGATTGAAATTTGAAGTCAGCTGTGGTGGCAAATGAGAGAATGGTTTTCTCCAAGCAGATGTTAACCTTTTCTAGATACTAGTACTAGTATTCTGGCTGTCTCCTGTTCTTGACATACAAGACAATGGGCAGTCAGAAAATCTCAGAATTTACCATTGTAACATCAGATTGGGACCTAGTAGATACCAATCTCCAAGCAGATCATACGGTGGCAACTTGGCAAGGCAGAATCCATTGGCCAGAGGAGTGTCCTTTAGCCGGGCTAGTTTGTCCTCCCATCACTCCACAGGAATTGATTGAGACTAGCAGGAACAGGAAGGATTGGTTTTAGTTGATAATAGCGAAGGGAGCGGAGGTCTGACTGACCGGGCCGTATAAATTAAGTACTGATGCGTGTCACACTTTATAAATTATAGCATGAAACAAGACCATTCGAGTTTTGAGCAACAAAGACCCCGTTTACATTCATTTTTCCTATTCGATTAAAAGGGCTATCCGAATAGAAAATTGTCTATCCGAATCGACACCGAATCCACAAGAGCGTTTGCACTGCTTTTCGCCGATCCGAATTGCGCCCGCCCGCAAAAGAATTGCCATATCGCTACGTCTTATTTTCACCAAACATTTATATGTATCACGAGCCTCGCTTCGTAAACTCATATTTCGCAAGAAAATTTTACCAAGCCGCCACCTTCCCACTTCTCACGTACTGGAAACATTCCCACTACAAATTACCAGGTAAGATCATGTCAAAAAGTAAAGTAAAACAAAACGCCTCATTTCTTTCAATCACGAGACAAATAGTTTTGAAAAATAACTTGCTGCATCGTAGCTTTCATTGCTGTTTCATTCAACAAAAGTTCTCGTCGATTGTAAAATGATCACTCATCTGTTGTCTCCAGTACAGTATCAACGGTAACGGCGTTATCATAGTGTGCCAAAAATCGGCGTCGAACGTCAGAAAATCCGCGAAAAAGAAACTCGTAACATGTATTCTCTCCTGAAAAACCACCGGGCGCCATTTTCTCATTAGTATGTAAGTAGCAGCTCACGTTCTACGCTCTGATTGGTAAGACGGCCCGAATCCAATTCACTTCGCGTTCACACTCGCGGTTTCGTCCGATTCGAATCCGCCGCAAGTGTCTCAAACCACCTCCCGAGGTGGATTATTTTGGAATCAATTCGAGTAAAATCTAAGTGATTTGGAGCGTTCACACTCCAGAAAATTATTCGGATAGACAATTTTCTATTCGGATAGCCCGTTTATTCAAATAGGAAAAATGAATGTGAACAGGGTCATAGAATGCGGATTAGTTTATTCATGAAATTGAATCCCTTAACTAAACTAAAGGTGTGTAACTAACAGGATGCCCGGTCCTTTGTGACACTACCGGTACTACTATTAAACAGGCTTAATCTCCACAAATATTGTTCAGATTCTGATAGAGCAGTGATTTCATGTTGTATCAAGCAGGTTAGATAAGATATCTACTTGTCCAGTCTAGGATAATCATTATCATAAAAAGGAGATTTTGATGAGTTTTTTTTGCAGATTACATTTCTGCTATAAAGCCTTACTGAAATATTTGACTTATGATTAAACCAATTCTTGATTGATGATCAGTACATACTATATGGTGCATTCAATAGAACTTGTCATGTGTATGGACATGAGTTTTTTCTTTTGAATTGAGTTCTTACCAGCATTTATTACCTTCGCCAAGAAGGTTATGTTTTCAGTAGCGTTTGTCTGTCTGTTTGTGAACAGCATAACTCAAGAAGCTTAATATGTATTGTCATGAAACATGGTAGGTGGGTAGGTCTTGATGAGACCTAGAAATGATTAGATTCTGGGCCCCCTGGCGGCTTTTGTTGGTACTACAGCAGAACTTCCGGTTTTGATATCTCGCGATCTGGACATGCTAGAGTCACGAATTTTGGTTGGTAGATAGCTCTTGAGGTGGGGAAGAAGTGACATGAGTTTGGGCCCCCCAGCAGCTTGTTCTGGAACTGCAGGAGCGTTTCTTGAAAAAATCTCCGAAGGTTGATAACTCAAGAACCGGTTGACGGATTGTCATGATTTTTGGTATGTAGGTAGCTGAAGTGATACTTGACATAATCAGATGACAATTATGCAAATCAGGAGCTAATTTGCATAATTAATGAGGACATTCTATAAATCTGCTTCGTTCGATTATAGGACTTTGAAACACTTGTGACATGTAATTGAGAACTAGAAAAACATCTGAGGATATAGATTATGTAAATGAAGACCTAATTTACATAATTAATGGAAAATTGTTATAATTTCATAGTTGTAATTGCTGGGAATTTCATACTTGCCGTATTTGGAAGTTAAGTGAAGGTGAACATCAATGAAGATAATTTATTTACAATATGAACTCATTTGCATAATTTATGAGGAAGTGCTAGAATAGCCTACTTTGTTAAGATAAGGCTGCCATTGGGTAGAGAATATGATCAACTGATGTAATCCATGCATATGACGCTCTTATTTGCGAAATCAATTATTAAAATTGTAGAATTCGTCAACCACAAGGGTTAACATCATTTGGCGAAGGTATGAGATCGTGGAACTCTTGTTTAGGATGCATCTACATCTCCATTCCAGTTCTTCTCTATACACCCAGCTATACACCCCAACCTATTATCTGATGAAAGGGTCTCATATTGCTACTGTCAGGACTCAGGGTATCCCTCAGTGATACCCCTTGAGGGTTTTCGAATCGACTTATCGAGGGTAACCCAGACAAAGAAGAAGGCCCCTGGTTGAAGGGGGTTACAACTTAGAATAGTGTCAAGTATAAAATTAATTTCCAAAGTTGAAAAGTTTTTAAAAACTTAATAAGTTTTTAAAAACTTAATAAGGCCACACCAATTTAATTTGTTGGTTCTCGGATTCGCCTCTTCGTTTTTTTCTGATTTGCAAAAAAAAAAAAAAATTGATTCTGGTCCTGAATCAACTGAAAAATGCTTATGTTTTGTCCCCAACTCTTGAGGAAAGTCC